CCCAACTGAAGAACTAAAAACTGTTTATAAAATGCCAAGTTGACTTCTGTAACCTGTCAAAAACTTATCTGATAAACGTGTAAATATTGAGTACGAGAGATGAATGGAGATAATATAAAATTTAGATAATGGACAATACACATTCATCTGCTTTATATCAACTAAATACTGAGAGTGAGAGAGAGAGAGAGAGAGAGAGAGAGAGGAGGTATAAGTGAAAATAGATTCTGGTATCCAACTCAATAATTAAATGCCATGTATATATCTATTTATCAACCAATAATACATTCTACAGTAGATATCGCTTGTGTGATAAATTTCATAATCTACTGTGATATCACTTTACATGAATTTGATTGGTCAGTTGAAAAGGAACTACTTTTTTTTATTTTCAAAGAACAGTTCATTTCTTATTAAAGTAATTTTTTTTTATTAAAAATGAACTATTGTTATTTAATTGACTTGATGGAAACACTGGGTCAATGGTTGAATTGCTGTCAAAAAATGATGTATCACTACACCGGAATGTAATCAGGTTCAGTAAAAGTGAAATCTACAGCAAAGAATTATATTTATTTATTTGTGCATGTAAGAAAGGATTAGGTGATAAATAAAATCTCCTACTCGTCTTTTTTTTATTTAAAAAAATATCAACACTCGTTGGTAAAGTAAAAAAAACTCGGCAGTTACTTTATCGACTTGTGTTGATAATTTTTTATAACAAAAATGACTCGTAGGAGATTCTCTATATACCAGTATGCAGAAATCTAAGTAGAAAACGAAAATGCTCAAGAATTTAATGTCCTAAAAATGTGCGAGAAATTACATAAATCTTAACATTTCAGTAAATCAGAATCTAACCTTCACCACCCTAGGGCGTGTACTTGTAACTTTAAACAAAACATGAACAAAATTCTTTTAAGTCTGAACTACAGAAATAAATTAAAGAGTCTGTAAGTCTTTGACGGAATCTAAAGGAACTAGTTAAACAAACAATGGAAAACGAAACAGACTCGTATTTCGCCTTCGGGGGATATGAGCCAATCAACGCAGCCATTACAATTCATCCTGTTTATATAGCAATAGTTTGCCTATGTCGATATGCAACGGTGGAATGTATTTACTGCTAAGAGGCGAATATTACAGAGCTAGAATTATAGCCCGTTCAGACGCTTATTTTTAAACCAGTTCATAATCGCTGGGGTTTTTAAGACAGCATCGTGTTGCGTTCACACGTACTATAAGCCAAACCAGTTTAACTATTCTGACCTCTTCGGTCGGAGGTTAAAGTTAACTGCGCATGGGTAGCTTCATATTCTTTATTCGGTTCTCGCACGCTTTCGATAACATTGGCACTGTCTGACACCAATATATTTTCACAGGAATGTAACTAACTGCGTACTGCGCATGCTCAAAGCAAGCTGGAGCTGGGGTTTTTAAGCCAACCCGTTCAGACGGCTAAGATGAACCAGTTTAAAATAAAAAGCCTTCTCGAAGACAGGTCGCGAGCAGGAGTTTTTAAACTGGTTTATTTGCCCCACATTTGCGTTCAGACACTTAAGTTAAACTGGTTTAACGATCCCCGGGGTTTTTAAACCAGTTCAACTTAAGCGTCTGAACAGGCTATTAGAGAGCGATATTTTTTTCTCTCTTGTGTTAATTTGTTTGGTTGTTTCGAAATGTCGATAATTTCCCCCCTTTAGCTAAATTTCTCCAGTAATCTAAAACTACTTTATTTGAGCGTTGTGTGAAGACAAAGTTAATTATAGATACCATAAAATCAACTGATATGGAATGCCGTCTGCTGAGAAGAGAATACAATAGCGCTTGGTCATTAAAAAAAAGTGGGATTCTGTTTTTAAACAGAGTAACAACCGCCAGGTCCAAATCATATTAAAAGGCAGTAAATCAGATCTGATTATCCGAGAAGCGAATTCCGAATCAATTTACATTTCGTTCACCAAGTTGAGTAACATTGAAAATGTACAAATTTAATATCAGAGAATTTCAAATATGCCTTAAATATCAGGTGTTCTAGAGAGAGAGAATGGTATCGGGTGTTCTAAAGGCAGAGAGAATGGTATTGGGTGTTCTAAAGGCAGAGAAAGTGGTATCAGGTGTTCTAGAGAGAGTAAGTGGCATCAGGTGTTCTAGGGAGGGTTAGTGATATCAGGTGTTCTAGAGAGAGTAAGTGGCATCTGATGTTCTAGAGTAAGTAACATTGATCAGGTATTCTAGAGAGTGATATCAGGTGTTCTAGAGAGGGTAAGTGATACCAGATGTTCTAGAGAGAGTAAATGGTATCAGGTGTTCTAGAGAGAGTAAGTGGTATTGGGTATTCTACAGAGTAAGTTATATCAGGTGTTCTAGAGAGAGTAAGTGGTATCAAGTGTTCTAGACAGTAAGTGATATCGGGTGTTTTAGAAAGAGCAAGTGGTATCAGGTGTTCTAGAGAGTAAGTGATATCTGGTGTTCTAGAGAGTGTAAGTGATATCTGGTGTTCTAGAGAGTGTAAGTGATATCAGGTGTTCTAGAGAGTGTAAGTGATATCAGGTGTTCTAGAAAGAGTAAGTGATATCAAGTGTTGTAGAGACAGTAAGTGGTATGGGGTGTTCTAGAGAGGGCGAGTATTATTATTATTATTACAGCATATTTATAGTGCACCCTTTCATATAACATGTTCAGGGGCACTTTACAAAGTGACAATGTAAATCATAAATAAACAACAAGATTATGGATATGTTAACGATTGTATACAGAGTCAGTTAAAAGCCTGATTAAATAAATGTGTTTTAAGTTGTTTTTTAAAAGTCTAGAGATGTACAGCATCTTAAACTAAATGGTAGATTATTCCATAAAACAGGTGCTTGATAACTTAAAGAGACTAGTTGAACAGTATCAGATATTCTAGAAAGAGTAAGTGGTATCAGGTGTTCGTTCCATGTGAAACTCCAAATTGATTTAATTTAAATTGTATACGAATATTTTCCGTTAACACAGGAGTGTAACTAAAAATCTCACAGACCAAAACCAGAAAGATTGGGCAAAACAGGAAATGGTGCATGTCAACTTAGTTAGAGTTACCTCCCCTCTATCAAATATTGCCCAAGCAAGATTACATAATGACATCAATGGAATTAATTCTCTCGCTTGTTTTGTTTTTAACATAATTAATTCAATACTCGTAATACAATTTGGAATTTGACACGAAACGAAACTATAACATTTTTTGCGCAATCACATGACAAGATTAATTGTGAAAGTTTTAGTCAGGCAATGCCTGTTAAATATCTTGTCGTGAATTAAAATTGACACTGTATTTTCCAGGTACTATAAATCGGCCTAAGCGTGGTTTTCTGCAGACAAATTCCAAGACATTACAACCGGCAGACCACTTTTGAAGGGGGGCGGTCACAGTGGCTAAGTGGTTAAGACGATGGCTCGCTAGCCCGGGGGTTGGGTGTTCGATCCCTGCATTGGCCGAGAAAGTTCATCCAGATTTGCAGGACGGAGGGCCTGACAAGAACAGCTGGCTAGTCGTTCGGATGAGACGAAAAACCGAGGTCCCGTGTACACATTGGCTTGCATGTAAAAGAACCCATGACAGTTGGAATTCGATATAAGAGTAGGCCGTAGTGCCGCTGTCTGGGCAAAATTTTCCCCATAGCACACTGTATGGCGTATGCCCGTCTTCATTAGTAGGACGTTAAATCCCATTTCATTTCATTTCCTTTTGAGGGGGGAAGGGGGGCAAGTAACTATATAAACACAGGTATAAGCTGGTATTAAAGCTTGTCTATGATATCGCCCTTGGTGGAATTGGACGTAAAACTACAGGAACGAACGAACGAACAAACGACTCCCAATTTCGCAATTTTAAACAAACCTTTTACATGTATGTGTTTCATAGACTTAAAAATACATTATGGAAGATTCGATAACGAGTTTGCGGTTCTAACTATAATAGTTAAAAACTAGATAATGTAAAGATAATTTGCTGAAAATTTCATTCAAATTGATCCACTATGAACCAAGAACTTTAAAGCAATTGAAATTTCTGTCTAGCCACGATCACCATTACTAAAGTCAGTACAATAAACAGCATAGTCTCGATCATCCAATTCAAGATTAAATTATGAATGGAAGTCAAGCAGCAAATGGGATCATAATCCAGTAAATATCGCAGGCTAGCGATGCCATCGAGAGTTGATTATGGTCTGGATAAGTTAATTAATGTCTAATTAATAATTTAAAGAAAGATCTGCAATAGACATATTTAGCTCTTGCATAATATGTGTTTAATATTACAGTTTCTTCCCACCAGAACCCTTTTACATGTATGTGTTTCATAGACTTAAAGTAGCTAAGTCCGTAACTCAATATCATCCAAAATCTTCGACATTGAAAACACGAATTTTTTGCAATTTAAATCAGCATTGGTGTTGTGATCTTACCTGGAAAAGATGGGCGTCTGATATCCAATATTTAAGACAAAATAAACATTTTACCATTGGTACACGAATCGTGTACCATAATGCGTTTCAGCGCCATTTGTAACAAGGTGCTCAAAGAATGAGGCGAGACATATTCCACAAGTCATGTCAAACGGTGATATCATATTCTTATTTGGAGAGCATGCGCAATAAATAATATCGGTGTTGACTGGAATAACCAGACGCTAGAAACTGACTTGCGATTGAGACTTCTGGCGTATTTCGCCGAACATAACTGATGACAATTCACAGTAAAACGGACACGATTGAATGGAAAACAGTTTATATACATTCATATTACATTATTATATGTGTTGTGACCCATTTGTGCCAATTTCTAGGTCCAAAATATTACAATTTAAAATACAAATTATTTCCACCAGAACCTTTTCAGTAACCTGTGAATGTGGGGATGTATCCTGGGTACTGGTTGTACATTTATATAAATTGAAAAAACAGTCAACATATCCATAAAAATTTAAAATAACAAAATTAAAATGGACATACCTGGAACACAAACAGTATTAAAGAACTTCATCAAAGGCAGACGAGCAACTTCTTGTTTAGCCAGCCTTTTCGATCGTGCAGTTGCCAAGAAATCTTCACCATTGACACATACTTTCATTTCGCATTCTGGGACCTTGGGATCGTCGGATATTCTCGTTATTTCGTACTTCAGACCAGGTATTTTCTCGTTTAACAACATGGCTGGCTGTTTGGTTGATCTGGCGAAGTCTTGTCCTAAAGTTGACTGCTCCATGTCCGACGTCTGCTCAAGCCCAGCTTTAGTCCCATCGGAGTTATCTCCCATTACCACATTTTCTGGATTAAGCTCTGAAATTTCTTTCATTTCTTTTAAAAAAACTTCAACTTCTGCTAATGTAGAATTTTCTTTAGGCTTAGGATTAGCAATATCCACCATTTCTGCATCCGATTTTACTTCAACTTTGACCATTTTGGTTTCGGCTGGTTCCTCTGTTTTCTGGAAACTCGTGTCTTCCTTTGTTTCTGGTACCTCACATTCTAGAAAAAGTTACAAAATATGAATATTAATTTAATCAAAGAATCCCATAAAACAATCAAAAGTAACGTACCTTGATTAATTTCATATGATGAAACGTTGCCGAAGAATAAACCATGGTAATTATTATCCATAAATAGTGTTTTATTTGAGCCAATCAATACCATACAACAAAATTAACGAAGAAAATATCAAATTCTCATTTAGTCCACACCAATTTGATCATCTGTTCTTCGGGGAAAAACCTGTCCAAATTTTGCTTCTTATTTCTTCAGACTAATTTAAAAACCAAAAGTAGGCCCACTTGGTTGAGCTGTTCGAAAGCTTTCATTTCAAAAGATCAATGATTCAAGAGGCTATTTCTTCCGTCAATCTGATTAAAACACAGATTTTATTTCGTTTCGTTTTTACGGCAATACTATATACCGGAAAACACAGGAAAACAACCGGAAAACACCATTTTATACTGAATACCGGAAAAACACTAAATACCGGAAAACACAATAAATACCCTAAATAGGTAACCGGGAGCCTGGTCCCCTGTGTGCCTGGGTTAGGGTTAGTTTACAGTTTATAGTATAGCCCTTCTCCGGGTTACGTATTTAGGGTGGTTTCTGGTATTTAGTGTTTTTCCGGTGTTCAGTATAACATGGTGTTTTCCTGTAGTTTTCCAGTGTTTTCCGGTATATAGTATAGCCCTCATTTTATAGTTAAAAATTTCGTTTTACTTGTCTTTACTACACTAGGATCTGGAAGAGTTGTTATCATTGACGTGTTCTGAATGGTGTGAGGGCTTAGCCAATGAAACGGTCTGTTACGGCGAGCTTTAGGCGTGTTTTGCGTAATCCACTAGTAACATCAATGCTGATTGGTTAATCAAATGTCTGATGTCATAGGGTCAAAAGCCGCTCGTATGACCTCTGACGTGACCTATTGTTACAACCGGTCAGATGTTCATGTAGTGTAGGCCATCAAAAGTATAAAAAAACAAAACGAAATATAGATCTGTATTTTAATCAGATTGTTATATATCAGGACTTTGAAGAACAGAAAATCAGATTGACTTGGCCTACGACTAAAGTTTCATAAAAGTATGAAATATTCCTGAAGTAAAGAATTAGGACACAGACTGCAGTTTCGCTTGACTTTTGTTGACGGCATCTTTCGGTAGCCCAATCGTTCAATTACTCCAAACATTTAACTTCTGGTGAGACTTATTCTTAATCATTTTTACAAAATAATGTAAAGAAAACATTAGCCATTATTATTATTATTACTGTTTAATAAAACCACTATGCCTCATTATGTTTTCCATTTAAATACAGAAAATTGAAGTTGATGATTCTCAATCTTCGTATCATTCGTAATCCATGTTACAATGAATTAAAGATTTTTATCAATGGTAGATAAAGAGAGAGAGAGAGAGAAATAGGGTTTAACGTCCACTCGACACAAACAAGGTCATTTCAGGACTAACATATGGTTCAATTTTATTTCAATAATCCACTTGCACGTAGGCGTCTTTAGCAGTAGGAGGAAACCGGAGGACCTGGTGAAAACACAGGAGGTTGGACAGGCGACCCAACTCCTTGTCACGTACAACCAGGGAATCGAAACCATGCTAGTTGACTCAATGACAGAACTTATGATACAGCGCACGCACTAACCATTCGGCCATCCAGCTCCCAAGAAATGAAATGGGGTTTAACGTCCTACTCCAACTGGGCAAATGAAGACGGGCATTTTGCCCGGACAGCAGCAATATGACCTACTCTTATATCGAATTCCAACTGGCTCCCGTCTGAAATATGACTCAAACCACACTTCACTAGTTCGAAAAGTACCGGTAACATGTTAAACAGGGTTTCAATTCAGTATTTTAAGGTCATAACCTAAAAGGGGGATGGCTGAATGGTTAGCGTGTGCTCGTTGTATCATAAGGTCTGTCATTGAGTCAACTGGCATTGTTTCGATTCCCCAGTTGTACGTGACAAGGAGTAGGGTCGCCTGTCCAACCTCGTAGGTTTTCTCCAGGTCCTCCCTGCTAAAGACCCTAACGTGCAAGTGAAATAAAATTGAAATAAAATTGAATCATATGTTAGTCCCGAAATGACATAATTTGTGTCGAGTGGAAGTTAAACCCCATCTCTCCGTCTCTCTAAAAACACAATGAGGCTAATACTCTACATATTTTATATAAACAATTGAAAACTAATTTCACCAGAAACACAGCCAAGAATATTGAAAACCATAAGCTACCTAAAGTTACACACGATTATTTCTGTTCCAGAACTTGCAGCCTGTCGAATTGTCCCACGGTATTTTTCTTACCAAAATCGCAACATTTGACATAATCGTACTGCTTTTGTCTAAATCTAGAACACCTCAATTCGAACGACAATAACCGATTGTATCACCTCCAACATATATACAAAAATATTTCACAAAGATTAACTGCAATGAAAAAATTATCATTTCAAGTCAACAATAATTTGATATAAGAAACAGGTATCCTCGATATCCCCAGCGAACTCATTCCGTTCAACTCCACTAACCCTCGAGTTAATCTAAGATGGTGGGGGGGGGAGAGACGTTTTCAAGTTTTCCGCCCTTGATGATTGTGCTATTTCGTTCAACTTCACTAACCCTTGAGTTAATCTAAGGGGGTATGGGGGGGGGATACGTTTTCAAGTTTTCGGCCCTTGATGATTGTGCTTTTATCGACCAATCCCATAAATCGTTAATTGCAAAGGAAGTTGGCCTAGGGAAGTAATTCTCATCGGATAAAGTAAGCAAAACGCAAAGGCTCCCCTTCAAGAGACAAGGTTAGAAATTAATTAATATATTAAAGAAGACCAAACCTTTATATGTATGTAGGTTCAACAGTTTTATTGAGAATGTGTGTGTGTGAAATAGTTTTTTTTAACGTCCGCTTCCACCGAAGTGATATTGCAGACAATTACATGTTATATATACAAGGTGAAAATATTTATAATGTGATTAGTGGAAAAAAAAAGGATATTTAGGTTTTTATATATATATATGTACAGAAGACAATAAATAACAGGACATGACGTGATATAACAGGCGCAAAAATAAAGAAGTGCCGGTAGAGAGAAGCAAATTGCCAAGTATAAGTTCAATAAAAATAAACATAACAAAATGAAACATTTCAGAAAAAGCATGAATAGTAATACTAATAACAAAAGTCAAACATATAGATGTTATACATATTTGAAATCAACAACACATACTACACATCTTGATAATACAATTAAATATAAATGAATTAGAAATATAAACATTATTTACATAAATCATTCAGTAAATGGACATAAATATGGTTATCTACCCTTATAAAAATGAAGGCGAACCGACTGGTTAGTAAACTGTTTTTTGATTGGTTCGTAGACTTTAGCTAGAATCAAGGCCAGGGCAGATAATTTGCAATCGTGGAAACCCTATGGATTAACCCAGGGTATAGTGGAGTAGAACGGAATGACAACACTGGGGATACCTAGGATGAGAAACAGGTAGCACAATTTACCCAAATCCACCATTATTTCAACTCACTTTACAATAAGTTATATTGATTATTGGTAACTTATGGTTCTGTAAGCTAAATTGTCATTTTTAATTTAAACATACATTATGAAAGAGCTAAATCTGCCTATTGTAGGTCTTTTTTTTAGGCCTGAAATGTTATATAAACTATTAATTAGACATTAATTACCTTATCCAGACCATAATCAACTCTCGATTCCATCTTGTATGTCCGATTTTCATTGGATTTGAATCCGATCTGCTGTTTAATGTTGATGATTAAATGCAAAAATGGATAATCGAGACTTTGTTAATTATCTTGACAACCGTAATAATGACAATCGAGGCTACAGTGATTTTAAAATGATGTTTTCTTGGCTTAGAGTGAAGCAATTTGACTGAAATTTTCAGCATTTCCTCTTTACATTTACATAAACTATTATAGTGAGAACTGTCAACTCTTTATCTAATCTTCTATAATGTATTTTTAACTATTACAGTGAGAACTGTCAACTCCTTATCTAATCTTCCATAATGTATCTTTAAAATTGTAGCATATTTGTGGCTAAATGTGATGTTAAAATAATGGTGGCTTTGGGTACATGTAGGATTGCATATCATGTGAGTTATGTCCCTTGATTATTTTGAGGGGTATTTTGAGTCTTTGACACAAAATTTTTAATTAAAAATGACAATTTGCTTAAAGTGGCATTATGGAAGATTAGATAAAGAGCTGGCAGTTCTTACTATAATAGATAATGTAAAGGAATGTGCTGATAACTTCAGTCAAATTGATCCACCCCGATTGAATTTTAGGCATACCCTTGATCATTATTACAAAAATTGGTACGATAAAAAACAAAGTCTTGATTATCCATTTTTGGATTTAATCATCAATGACCTTGAGCAGCAGATCGGATTCAAATCCAGTAAATATCACAGGCTAGAGATGATATCAAGAGTTGATTATGGTCTAGATAAGTTAATTAATGTCTAATTAGTAGTTTATATAACATTTCAGGCCTAAAGAAAGATCTGCAATAGGCAGTTTTAGCTTTTGTATAATGTACGTTTAAAGAACAGCATATGATCAAATATCGATATATATTATTGCAATATGAGTTGAAATAATGGTGGATGTGGGTAGTTTTGGGTAAATCATGCTACCCATGAGAAACAAACAATATATTGGTAATAAATTCCCAATGACGTGTCGCGATGTCCACTTAATAAATTCCTTTAAAGTCAAAAGTACCCAGGGTAGACCTGTCTGTATACAGAAGGGTACCCAATCGTTGTCATCCGAGTTTGTAAAATCTAGCAGGTGGTCATGTGATATTGTGGCAAAAATTATCGCTACATGACTTTGACTTTGGAATTTGCAGGAATAAATTTCCACAGTTGCAGGAAACCGTAGTATAATGGTAGTCATAATAATAAACCAAACTTATCTTCGTTATTATTTGTTAATATAATTTGTTGATTAACACTAGTTCCTTTAGGAACAGTGTCTAATCAGTTGATGTCCTCTCACCGAATGTTCCTGTTCATTCCTATTCAGCTGTAATATGAAAATACCACTCTACCCCCACCTCTGTTCTAAGACTACAAATGTATTTTGGAATTCTTATTGTCTATTTTTCATCGTGATTCACCTTTGTTAGCCAAAAGGAATCATTTCTTGACACACATTTATAATAAATCAGAACTATTTTTAAGGAGAATTTTCTGATTCAAAACACGAACAAAACACATTTTGCGCACAAGTGCGAGTTTCATAATGACGGACCAATTTAAACATATTTTGTTTAGGTTTTTGAATCGGGGCGAATAGAGAGAGAGAGAAATGGGGTTTAACGTCCACTCAACACAAACTAGATCATTTCGGGATTAACATGTGGTTCAATTTTATTTCCATAATCCGCTTGTTCGTAGGGGTCTTTAGCAGTGGGAGGAAACCGGAGGACCCAGAGAAAACCCACAAGGTTGGACAGGTGACCCTACTCCTTGTGCTGACTAAAAAACTCGCGCAAAGGAACTCCGTAGGACAAGCCACTACTGTATCTGGAGTAAGGCGGAAGACATCAGTAGTGGAACCATTTCTACCTTGCAGGTAATTCTGTTCTGGGCGCAAGTCTTATTAGATTCGCTCTGTACGTTCAAGACATATTTTTTACAGCGTGTTGTGTCGAACATACTGACACTTGCGAGATAAGCAAGGTCTGATATATGTTCTAAGTAATTGTTCCTTTACATTGTACAGGTATTCACAGGGACTGACACGCGACCGTTTGGCGGTAAAAAGTTGCCCAATAAAATTTACTGGGGACTGAAAAAGTTTCAACATGGAGTCAAGGCCCGTTCTGGAACGTACAGGGCGAGTGTAACGAGACTTACGTTCAGAGCTGAATTACCTTGCGAGAAGTCTGGTTACCGTTACAGAGTTTTCCATACGATCAGATACTCTTCTGTATACAGAATGGCACCCCAGATATTTGTATGTATTTGTATGTAGTATTATATCCGACACTGAGTGACTGACCCCTTCTTTCAGTTTCTGACATTTAAATAAAATAAAAACAAAGAAAGAATGCCAGACAAGTCGTCCACAAACGAAGTCGTCTTCACGAAAAATCATGGACGGCAAGTCAATTAAGAAGAATGGAGTGAAAAAAAAATGTAGTTTTATAATTTGAACTACTCCTTCCTTGTTCTAGGAAGTTTCGGATTCACGTTTTTCTTTGTACGGGCAAACAGTCTACTTTCGATTTTTGTTTACTACAATTGTCTCCAATATGAATATAATTAGACATGATTTGTTTATAGTTTTACCTGTCATCGGTTCCGCAACAACTTCGACCTTTGGTTTAGCCGATCGTCCCCTGCCTCGTCCTTTTCCTCGTGGCATCTTTAATGGTTTTAGGAGATAAAAAAGAAGCTGAAAACAAATTCCTTACTATTCTTAATAATGAAGCCGGCGCAATAAAATCTCAGGAGATTGTACAAGGAATTACGAGATTGTACGAGAATTGGAAGTCTTTTACATCCAGACAGAACATTAAACGTTTTTATCCAGTCGTTCAAGGATAAGTAAGCAGACGAAACCGTTAGGCGTGCAATCGGTGAAAAGCTGTCATTCATGCAAGATGGCCTTACCGACTGAATGCTCCGTTACATCAAGAGCTGTTTTCAGTGTAATAGGTTTATTAGTAGGTGTTAGTGTTTTTGTAACATTTGGTTTCAAATATGATAATTGGAACACGTCGTTATGGGGTTTAGTATCAGGTAAGTGAGTGAATAATATATGTGAACGATTTTGGTAGTGGTAGTGGTAGTGGGATGATCTGCTTACCATAATTTCATCAGTCAATTATTTCTTCAAATTAAAATTTTCAGCTATTTTCTTTTCTTAAAACAGATTATTAGATATTAAATATTTTATGAATTAAATTAAATAATGGAGTGGGAAAAAAATGTAATAATTACAGAAAGTAAGCTGGTAAAAATCATTCAGCTTAAACTTTTTAAAGACTGATTCTGTGGAACTACACACTATTAATCTGTCTAGTTGTTCGGCTGGTACAATAAATGGAGTTTAAGTCCTATTTTTCTGCACCAACTGGGATAATGAAGACAGACAGAAAAAAAGAATTCTTGACATTGGAATTGAAAGAAGAGTAGGCAAAAATTGTTGTCCGAGCAAAATTTAACTTGTTCTAGTGTAGTAGGCTTATGTACATCGCATGACTTAGGCTCGTCTTCATTGGCTCAATTTATTTGAAGGAAAGTAAGAAGTTAACACTAGGCTTAATGTGGTGAGTCTGAAACTATAGTGCCACATGGAGAGTCTGAAACTATAGTGCCACATAGAGAGTCTGAAACTATAGTGCCACATGGAGAGTCTGATACTATAGTACCACATGGAGAGTCTGATACTATAGTGCCACATAGAGAGTCTGAAACTATAGTGCCACATGGAGAGTCTGATACTATAGTGCCACATGGAGAGTCTGATACTATAGTGCCACATGGAGAGTCTGAAACTATAGTGCCACATGCAGAGTCTGATACTATAGTGCCACATTGAGAGTCTGAAACTATATAGTACCACATGGAGAGTCTGATAGTATAGTGCCACATAGAGAGTCTGAAACTAAGCTAATACTCTCTAGCCTAGGGTCATTAAAACGAAATGACTGATTACATCAATTGCTTTAGGTTAGGCAATCATTGAAAGAAAACTGGGTAATCTTTATTTTTTTTCCTTAATGGCCGCTTTTCATTTCTTTAATCACCCTTGAATCAAATACTCCGTTAATAATAAACAGATTATCATATTATGGCTAATGAATTCAGTAGATTAATCTAGCCATGTTCTAACTTTAATAATGATTTAGAGGGTTCATGCCTTTAATAATGATTCACCTCGGGGGTTTTCTCTGGGTCCTCTGGTTTCCTCCCTCTGCTAAAGATCCCTACGCGCAAGCAAACTATTGTAAATATTATAAATATGCTGTAATAATAATAATAATATTCAAATATAGATATTGAGTCGAGTGGTGTTGTATAGATTCCCTGCTTGTACGTGACAAGGAGTAGGATCACCAGTTTTCTGCGGGTCCTTGGGTTTCCTCCCACTGCTAAAGACCCCTTTACACACTATCGAATTATTGAATAAAATTGAGCCATGTGTTAAGACCCAAAATGACCTAGTTAGTTTTGAGTGGACATTAGACCTCATTTCCCTCTCAAATATAGTTATTACATCATTATCAGATTGTTTCTTTTTTTTAATAAAAAAAGGTCAGTATATGGGTTGCATATATTCTAGATATCTATCTAGGCCTATACATGAGGCCAAAGCAATTTCATTTCTGTTTCTTAACTTCTTTGGGGATTTAATAAATAAAAAGAAAGCCCACCCTGCAGGGGTCTCTTGAAGGGTGTTGTGTTTAAATTTAAAATTTTAAATATTTTGAACTAAAAGCCTTTCAGTAGAGCAACCAAGTGTTTTTGTTTTAAAATTATTTTTTTACCCGAAGACGGTGAAGAAACAGTAAGTAAAATCTTTAATGGGTGTTCCTGCAGACATAAATTGGTATGGCCTGACCAGTGATGTATGGGGCGGGGAGGGAGTTCGGACAATCATTGCACTTCTGTTAGGGGTCAAATTCAAACAAGGTACACATCATATCCCCTTTCAGAAATTAAGAAAAAATGGAGAGAGAGAGAAATAGGGTTTAACATCCACTCGACACAAACTAGGTCATTGGGACTAACGTACGGTTCAATTTTATTTCAATAATTCACTTGTGCGTAATTCACTGGGTTTTCCTGGGTCCTTGAGTTTCCATCCACTGCTGAAAACCCCTACAAGCAAACAAATTATTTAAATAACTATGCACCATATGCTAGTCCCGGAAAAACGTAGTTTATGTTGAGCAGAGGATAATCCCTCTTTCTCTGATATAACTATGTGATTGTGTTTCGTCATGTTCCCACTGTCGTGCGATGCGTTATGAGAGGATCGCATCTATTGAGTCCACGGTCGGTACGTACAGATACGTTCAGATCAATACTATTGCTACGATTGACCTCAATATATGATAAGATCACCACAATTACTCCACGATTCTAATCGTTGCATGAATCGTGATATTAGGTACATAACATTGGCCCACTCTCCATCGAATTCCAACTGTCAGTGTTTCATTTACAACAAGGATGCTAATGTGTACCCTGAACCTCAGTTTATTGTACCATCCAAAAGACTAGACACTTGTTTTGGGTGATAAAGGGTTAATGAATATCAATTGTCAATGATGCTACTGATTCATTGAGGGTAACTACCATAATTCTACATTCAGATATGTTTCAATATGATCAAAAAGATTGACCACAATATATGATAAGATCTGAACGGATAACTACGATTGCTCCACGATTAAAACCATGATTTCAATCGTAGCACGAATCGTTATAGTGAGAACCTAGCTTTATACAGTAGGCAGATCCTGGTCACTCTAACTATTTTTAAAATAAGAAAACATGTAGACGTATGTGTAATAATTTTAATGTAACATCCTGTTATTTGACTCTACATTAGACAAGTGGACTATTGCACAAAAGATATTTTTATATACACACGATAATAAAGACAAAATATATCTCCTATAAAATATATTTTTATATCTAACATAGTATAAGGACATCCTGCTACACATACTTATTGACTAGCTGTTGTTATCTGTTTTATCTATGTTAGTCAATGATCTATAGATAGATAGATAAATAGAAATAGGCCGACTGATTTCAATATTAAACACATGTCTTTAACCTATATATTCACCTTAATCTTCGGTTAACATTCAATAATTTTACAAAACAGAGAGAGAGAGAGGGGGGGGGTAATGTCCTGATTCAATAAATGTGTTTTAATATAGTGATGTACAACATTGAAGAGACACCCCCGGATTCATTCACTTGATTTGATATTTGTTTATTTGGTGCGATGTCTCTTTTCTGTCTTTTCCGCAGGTTTATCTTGTAGATTTTTGTTTTACTATTAAACTAAACTAAGTAGGCTTGTACTTAATGACTTGAGACAAATATTCACACAGTTTTATTACTTGTTTGATGGAGGTTGTATAAACCATAAACTATGAAATGTCTCTTCAAAAAAAAAGGGGGCAGGGCACTTTCTCATTTACACATCAGTTTCAAATTTAAGATATATGCAAATGGGTTTAACATGGTACAAAATCATCAATCATTGCATCTGTTATTCTTTATGCTATCTGAAATTAATGTGACTAAAATTTTGATAAATTATTTAAATTTTATCACGATATTATAAATGTTATTTGGTTTTAATTAAAATCAGACAAAAACACATACAAGAAATTAGATGTAAACACAGATAAATCAAAAATAATGTTCTTCTCTAATAATAAGAAAAAAATTAATAAAATGTTTCATGTTGGAATTCATAACATGGAAAATGTAAATACGTATGTGTATCTGGGTGTATGTATATCCAATAACTCTAGCTTTAAACAGGCCATGTCAGACTTAGGAAAATAAAGCGAAAAGAGCCTGGTACAGTATCAGAAATAAAGTTTGCTCATCTGGCTATACTCCTACTTACGCTTGGGGTTTGATGGCCGAATGGTAAGCACGTGCACGCTGTATCACGAGGCCTGTCATTGAGTCAACTGGCGTGGTTTTGAATCCCCGGTTGTACGTGACAAGGAGTAGGGTCGCCTGTCCAACCTCGTGGGTTTTCTCCGGGTCCTCCAGTTTCCTTCCACTGCTAAAGACCCCTACGCGCAAGCGAATTATTTAAATAAAATTAAAACCATATGTTAGTCCCGAAATGACCTAGTCTGTGTCGAGTGGACGTTAAATCAAATTTGGTGGCAAATACATCTAACTGAAACCCCTTTGATATACATGTAGTATACTGTTTGTATGAATGTATTGTGTTGTCTATACGTAATATGTATATGACTATGTCTAAGTGTATATGTATGCATGCTGTCCCTAATGGACGTTTTGATGCAGTAAACATCTTATCTTATCTTACAGTGAATAAGATATGCTATAGAAAAACTTTATATTCCCGAGTAGCCCATACTGTATAATATAGTAGAAACCCCTGTGTCACGGAGACTTAGTGGGTGGGACGCTGGCCTGACGGTCGGGTGTTCGATCCCTGTATTGGCCGAGAAATTTCATCCAGATTTTCTGGCGTGGTTCCCCCTTGTCAGTGATGCAGGAAGGATGGTCTGACAAGGACAGCTGTCTAGTTGATTGGATGGGACGAAAAAGCCAAGGTCTTGTGTACACATTGACGTGCACGTAAAAGATCCCTGGACAGTTGGAATTGGATATAAGAGTAGACCGTAGTGCCGCTGTCGGGGCAAAAATTCCCTCATAGCACTGTATGGCGTATGCCCGTCTTCATTAGCCCAGTTCGGAGCAGAACAGTAGGACGTTAACCCCATTTC